TGTGCAGCAAAGTACACTAAAGCACAGCCACTTGTAGAGGAGGCACACATGTGACAATGTACGCCAGACACGTGAACTAACAGGTGATTGAATGTGCGAACACATGTTCGCATCTTTGAAAATTCACAGCTTGAAGGTTTGCAGGTAGAGGACTTACTGAACGCTGCTCAGGCTTCCGTCTTGTCTGAGACCACCATCCTCCTGGCGTGTGTGGAAAGTGGCCCTAACCAGGAGCAAGATGGCTAGGAAGTTGGGGAAAAGGCACCTGGCTCTCAGCGTGGTGGAAGGGAGACAGTGGGAAGCAAGGCAACTGATTCCCTTTCGAGCAGTTGTCGGAAGTAAATCAGGCAATCTGTTTTTTAAAAAGTACTCCAGGGGAAATCATACCAGGAGCCCACCTCTTCGTGGTAAGACGCCTCTGGACCAGACCCGAGTGGCTGGATTCTGTTCTAAGTGCTACTCGTAGTTGTATTCAAAGGTGAGACTTAAGCCTTCTCATGTATCTATCCCTGGAAGATTTTAAGTGTAAAGCTTTCCTTCCTATAATCTTAAAGGAATGTTATAAATTCTAAAATAAGCTTGAGACTGTCACCTCACTTTTCTGGAAGAAAGTCTTCCAGGCAGCTGCTTCAGCCATTGGGAACATAGCCGTGAACCTGGGCTGGCAAAGAGGAAGGTGGCTTCATCAAGTGTAAAGAAACCGAGAGTCCCTGCACAGCAAGCTCCCACCGGCCCCTGCACCCTTTGTGCCACTTTCCAAATCACACGGCAGATGATTGGCAAGGACAGCCCAAGGCAGGGAGAAGGCAGATGGGCACCCTCAGCCAGTCAGCAGGAGCCCTGGTGCCGGGCAGGACGGGTGTTTAAAACAAGTGTGACGCTCGCTCAGTCTGCTTGCTCGCAGGCAGTTGCTGTTCTCTCGGGTTGCGCCATGAAGTGGCCATTTTTAATGGTCAGAGGGCACCATTGTAAAGTGTTCGATCTGCAGTTGGACATGCAGAACAGTCACAGCTTAAGTGAAGCAGAGAGCACAAAACAGCATCAAGTTCTGTGTTGAAGTTTGTGACGTAAAAGTAGATGTCTAGGGAGAAGCACAAGAACTGGCTTTACGGATCAGACCAGAATAGATCTGGGCCTTGAAGCTGGCATGAAATTTAAACAAGCCTAATGAAGAGTAAAGCCCCAGAGAGGGGAATGACATGGCGAAGGCGCAGAGCGAGAGTGAGCACAATCTGGAGGAAAACTCACTCCCAACAGAAGATGCGTGTTGAAAAAAGGAAAATGGGTGTGGATCGATGGTGTGGAATCAACTTACAGAGACCCTTGCAAACCAGACAAAAGGTAAGCTCCAGTTTGACCAGTTCACGCGAGTATGCAGTATCTGGGACCTCATAACTCAACATTGTTTTATGAAATGAAGGAGTGAGCAGTTTTGATTCACAATAAACTAAGAATTCACTGACGACTTGAGGGAAAAGATGATACACGACCAAAGTGCATCTAAAACTGATTAATATGTGCCAGGTGCAGTGACTTAACACCTGTCATCCCAACACGCTGGGAGGCTGAGGTGGGAGGATTGCTTGAACCCAGAAGTGTGAGATCAGCCTAGGCAGCATAGCAAGACCTCATCTCTTCAAAAAAAAAAATGAGCCAAGCATGGTGGTACACACCTGTAGTTTCAGATACTCAGGAGGCTGAGGCAGAAGGACAGCCTGAGCCCAGGAGGTCAAGGCTGTAGTGAGCTGGGATCGTTCCACTGCACTCCAGCCTGGGCAATGGAGTGAGACCCTGATTCTAAATGAATGAATAAATCTGATTAATATCCTGGATGGATCAAAGGAACAAGATCAGCATTCAGAAATAAAACTAGGAGATTATTTTATTAACCTAGAGGGGGGTGATAAGCATCAAGGTTAGACTAGAAAAAAGAGGCTTACACTGAAGGCATTGAAAAGAAAATCGACATGAACCTTGAAAACTTTATGCGAATCGAAAGAAGCCAGTCACAAAAGACCACAAACGGTATGGTTCCATTTATATGAAATACACAGAATAGGCAGTCTATAAAGGCAGAAAATAGATTGTTGGCTCCTTGGGCTTGATAGAGGGCAGGACAGAGGGAAATGGCAGTGACAACTAGTGCCTGTGGAGATTTTGGAAGGGTTGGTAGCACATTCCAAAGTTGACTGTGGTGATGCTTCACGACTCCATGAGTGAACTAAGGACTGTTGAATTGTAGACTTTAAACATGTAAGTTGCAAGGTGTGTGAAGTGTGTCTCAATAACCGAAAAGAGCGAGAAGGGGAATCAATGGAATGTGATGAATGACAGGATGTATATGCTTGATGGAGAAATTGAGTCCTTTACTGTAAGCTCCGTAATTTCTGACTTGATTCTTAGTGAAGTGACAAGAATGGCTACTAATATCATTATTATTTAAATTTGCTTTAGGAGCCCTGGGTGATGCAGGAAGACATGACACGTAAATGAAAAGTGTTATATTAGAAAGGAAGGGACCAGTTTATCACTTTCAGAAACCCCAAAAGAATCACCTAAAAATGATGAGCACTGATGGAAATTCAGTAATACAGTCCTATGTACGAGTATGTGAATGTCAGTATATTCTAAATACCAGCAGTAGCTAACAAGAAAAAAGTTTAAGCTTGAAATAACCTCAATAATAAATATAAACAGCTCCTACATTGCCAGCAGTGTAAATTTGGTGACATTTTCCAAGAGCCTTCAAAATGTCCGTACACTTTGTCCCAAGGAAATCTCTTAGATGGAGAAAAAGCGAAGCCTTAGAGGAGCTCCACAATGATGCTCGTGTCATTCTTGAGGTTTTCTCTTCCCATCCTGTTTCTCCAAACAGCCTTTGCTCGCCTGGCTTCTACACTGTTCCGTGTCCTGATGGTCCTCCCCTAGACAGACTAGTTTGTTAGTGTCTCTCTTTCAGTGTGTCATTAACCCTGGCTGTGTAGGGAAGAGTAAAATGAGGAAAGCCAAACCCAGCTGATGCATTGTCACCACAATTTAGAAGTAACCCCATGACACAGTGGAAGTGTTTACTGGTGGGTGACTGGGTGGATGACTTCACAGTAGCTACTTCTTAGCGAGTAAGCCTTGTGTGTTGGCATTAGGAGCATACCTACTGGTTTCTCCATTATTGGAGGTAGTGGCTCCTCAGAGAACACAGATAAAAAGAAGTCTGCCTAGGGCCTCCCAAAGGTAATGGAAAGGAGAGTCGCTGAAGAATGGTGGAAAGTGTCTTGGACTCAGAAGAACAGCTAGGATAATTTCTATCTGCTTTACTAAGAGAAAAACTTCACTCTTACAAAGAAGTAAGCCTGAATTTTAACTCACTTTCTGCGATTCAGTGCAAAAGTAATACATACTAAGTGTTTTTTAAAAATGCAAAAAATACAGCCATGTACAAAGTGGTAGACTTGTTTCTCTGACATGTATTCCTCGCTAAAGTTAACCATTGTTATATTCATTTCTAAGATGCCATGGAGTGTTCCATGATGTTTAAAAACCACTGTAGTCTTTATCTCCAGTATTATATATGGCGTCATTTTTTATGAAAGACATGACTATGTTCTTTGTAGTCTTTTGTTTTGGTATTGCCAGTCACCGCTGCTTATTCACCTAGACACTGTAATGTCTGTTTAGATACGACTTACACTACCTTTCCCTCAGATGTTATTTTTATGTAAAATTGTAATTTTAACTGTATATTCACTTGAAAGAAAATGCCCAGCTATTTTTAGTTATTTTGAGCTATTTCCAAATTAAATGTAATCTCTAGTTTTTTAAATATTAAAATCAACATGTGTATGCATACATTTTAATGAGAGAGATATAAAGATTTCGCTTTGTTGGTATGTGAAGTGCTGACGTCTTCAAAGCCCACAGGCATTAGTTGAATGAGGAGAGATCCGACTGGCCATGGGTCTCAAACTCAGGGACGTGCTGGCCAACAAGTGAGGCAGCCGCAGAAGGCAGGCAGTTTCGTGACATGAGGACCGGTGGAGACAGCTGTCCGGTGGACTGCGGCCACCAGGTAGGGCCAGGGTCGTCATTGTGTGGGAGTCAGGCCTCGTTGTGCTAGGTCATCTGGTTTTTCAAAAGAAGTCAAAATCTGGATTTTTAAGTTGTCTTATTCTAAAAAAAACCACTGTGAGTTAAAAAAAATCTACAGGTTTTTAGACTGCCAAATTGCAGCCTTTCTATACTATTCTCACCAGCAGTAAAAGGAACCCATTTTTCTACATTTGCTATATGTTCTTGGGGGAGCTGGTGAAAAAACTGTCCCATTAGTTTATCAGAGAAAAGGTTAATTATTAGCCAGGTACAGTGGCTCATGCCTGTAATCCCAACACTTTGGGAGGCGGCGACGAGAGGATTGCCTGAGCCCATGGGTTCAAGACCAGCTTGGGCAACTTGACAAGACCGAGCAAACTTAACCAGGTGTGGTGGCATGCATCTGTGGTTCCAGCTACTTGAAAGGCTGAGGCGGAAGGATCACCTGAGCCCAGCAGGTTGAGGCTGCGGTGACCATGAGTGTACCACTGCACTTCAGCCTGGGCGACAGAATGAGACTCTGATTTTTTTTAAAAAAAGGTATTACAACATAAACTTCTACATTTGTGTTTACTCTGCATGTTTTCAGTCTTTTCTGGGAAACCTACCACACCTTAGCTGTGAAGTTGGGCTATGAAAGTCAGACTCCCATTTCTGATCCTCAATCCCCGATGCCACACCGACAGAGAAAGAGGAATACCAAAGAAGTGTCAGCATCTTCATTCTCCAACCTCCACTGGTTTAAACCAGAAAGTTCTTTGGGGCGAAAACACTGTCTTTTTTTCCTCAGAGCTACTGAGAAGTTATAATTAGAGGTTGTCCTGTTGTGTAAAGGAAAGGAATTCCTTTCCCTTCCCGTGTCTGCAACTTCTGTTCTCAATGTGTTTGCTTCCCTGTCCCATTTCTTTCCACAGGTGATAGAGGGAAAGCTGGCTCCATTCTTGGGCAAGGTCATTAAATTTGCCACCTCACATGTGTACAGCTGCAGCCTTTGTAGCCAGAAGGGGTTCATCTGCGAAATCTGTAACAATGGAGAGATCCTCTACCCTTTTGAGGATATTGCAACAAGCAGGTACAGAATGTCTTGTCTTATAAAGAATACTTGAACCTGTCACATGCAGTTGTCCTTGGCCAGATCAGGCCCACTTTTGGCAAGTGCTGTCTCTCCCACTGGGTCCGGTTTCCCTTGTCCTTGGAGAATGCCTTTACCTTTGGGTGTCCTGTGTTTGTTTCCAGCCCTTACTTGACTGCCTTGTCCAGAATGAGATAACAGAGCTGCACAGACACATTGCCTAACTCTGCCTTGTGAGGTAGTGGAGTGTATTCAGAGTCACTTCTAGAGTGAAGATTGGGGAGGAAAAGTCCTCAGACCTTCTCAGAGCCAAGCACCAGGCGATGGGCAATCGCCATCTCCGAGGAAGGCCTGACGGGCAAGCACTAGAGTAAAACTGGAGGACACTGGTGAGCGGCCTCTGCTTCCCCACGCATTTTCTCCACGTTTGACTGCAGCGCAGCCATGAAGGCTTCAGGACGCAGAGGAGAGAAAGTGGGAGTTTATGTGGGGCTGTTTTTTGACGAAGCCATATTTGGGCATCATCGCATCCGTTGATGGATGGATGATATTTTCCCCCCGTAATTTGGAATCAGAGTTTTCACTGTTGCTGTTCTTGAGTCACAAGATGATCTGTATCATTTTTCCTTTCATCTCAAAAGTGTAACAGAGCCTCCACTGTGAGTGTGTGTGTGTGCGCGCGCACTGGCTTCTTGGGGCGTGAGTGTCATGGTCATTTCCACCCTGCAGGGCTTGCCCTGTGATTCAGGACAGAAGGTGAGGCTGCAGCCAGGGAGAGTTGGAGCATGCAGGGCGGAGCCAAGATGCTGAGAGCTGGCACAGCCCTGTCCGCCTCTTCCTCACGTCAAGGCTGTTGTAACATTCAGGAACTTGGGCTGGCCCTCCAAAAGAAAGGTAGACGGAAGCACATGGACCTGCAGGTGCACACACAAGTCCAGCCTCCAGTTCCTGAGTGCAGGCACTTAGTTCGTAGCCCAGAGATCAGGTACCTCTTAAAAAGACATACCACACAAAAGCTTGTACACGAATGCTCATAAAAGTTTTCACATGTGTTGGCACTCACAGTAACTCAGACGCGGAAGCAAGCTGCACTCCTGTCAGCGGATGAATGGACAAGCAAGATGTGGTGCATCCAGACAAGGGCATCATTCAGCCACGAAGAGGGGAAAGTCCTGCGCTGCGTGCTAATATGCTGCACTGCACTGCAACGCGCTGCACGTTAATTAATATGCTGCACCGCGCTGCAACGCGCATTAACCTAGAAGACCCGTCAAGCACAAGAAGCTAGACCCAAAGGCCACAAACTCTGTGGCTCTGTTGGTATGAAACGCCCAAAAGAGGCAAGCCCATAGCAACAAAGGGCAGATGCGTGGCTGTTTGGGGCTTGGGGAAGGGAGGAAAGAGCAACCGCCGATGGGAACAGCTGTCTCTAGCAGCTGTTAGAACCAGAACGTGGAGGTGGCTGCATGGTCTTGGGACTACACGAAAAGTCTGCGAACTACAAACTTTAAAAGGTATGTGAATTATATTGCAATACAAAGTTTAATAAAAATTTAAACTGAAAACATGCTTCCAACTGAGTAAATGATATGAGGTCTGACAACTAGGTTGGCAAGCTCATCCCAGAAAAAACTACCACATACCTTATTGCTGACTACCATCACGGTCACCTTCGACGTCCTCCCCTTGGGAAGCTGTGCACTGACGCCAGCTCCTAACCCATCCATCAAAGCGATTTTGGAACTCTTTTTCCTGGAATGGCCATCAGAACTGTCATCATATTACTCTTGGTGTCCAGAATGTCATCAAAATGTCTTTCTTTCAATATTCCCATTATCTTCTGGGAAAGGAAAAAGTCATCGGCGACCCGATCAGATGAGTAGGGAGGGTGTTCCAACACAGTTATTTGCTTACTGGCTAAAAACTCCCTCACAGACAGTGCTGTGTGAGCTGGTGCATTGTGATGCAAGAGCTCCGTCAGAACGATCTTCGTACACGCCTTTCTCATGCCAAGATTTTCCTAACTGTTTCTCTCTTGACGTTTATTTGGTCTGCTGTGCTTCTCGTGGTCAGCTGACGATGTTGGCACACGATTCAATGGGTTTTTGCAATGTTTTCTTCATCACTTCTGCTCGTTTCTGGGCGTCCTGACCACTCTTCATCAGCGATGCTTTCTCTCCCCTCAGAAAATGCTTATCCATTTGGATGCTGCCGTTTTCTTCATGGCATTATCCCCATAAACTTGGTCTAACGTACTGGTTTCGCTTCCATTCTTGCCAAGTTTAACAAGAAATTTAGTGTGTGTTTGTTGCTCCAATTCAAGCTCTGACATTCTCGCGATGACAGCTCTGATGGCCACTCCAGAAAGAGTTCCAACATTGCTTTGACGGGTGGACTAGGTGCTGTTATCAGTGTGTAGCTTCCCAAGGGGAGTACTTCAAAGGTGACCGTAGTGATATTCAGCATTTTTTCTGAGATGAGTTCACAAACTGAATTGTCAGACCTCCTATGCTGGGCCACAAAACAAGTCTCAAGAAATTTTAAAAGACTGAAACTAAGCCAGGAGTGGTGGCTCATTCCTGTAATCCAGCACTTTAGAGACTGAGGTGAGAGGATTGCCTGACCCCAGGAGATCAAGACTAGCCTGGGCAACATGGCGAGACCGTGTCACTCTCATACATTTTTTAAAAGTAGCTAGGTGTGGTGGTGTGTACTTTTAGTCTCAGCTACTTGGAAGACTAAGGTGGGAGAATTGCTTGAGCCCCGCAGGTCGAGGCTGCAGTAGCCACGATCGTGCCATAGCACTCCAGCCTCCAACTCAAAAGGAAGACTGAAACTATACTAAGTATGTTTTCTAACACATGAAATTAAAAGATCCACAGTAGGAAAAAATCTGGGAAACGTCCAAATATTTGGAAATTAAATAATATACTTCCAGATAACTCATGATAAATGAAGGCATCACAAGGAAAATTTTTAAATACTTTGAAATGAATAAAAATGTCATAGAGGCCAGGCTCGGTGGCTCAGCCTGTCATCCCAGTGCTTTGGGAGGCTGAGGCAAGTAGATTGCCTGAGCCTGCGGGTTCGAGACCCACCGGGGCAACTTGGCGAGACCTCATCTCTACAATAAATCAAAAAATTAGCCGGGCGTGGTAGCGCACGCCTGTAGTTCCAACTACTTGTAAGGTTGAGGTGGAAGGATCGCTGGAGCCCAGCAGGTCGAGGCTGTGGTGGCCGGGAGTGTACCACTGCACTCCATTCGGGGTGACAAAGTGAGACTCCAACTCAAAAAAAAAAAGAAAATGTAATAGAAAAGATCTGAAATGCAGCTAAAACAGTGCTTAGAGTAAAATGTATAACTATAAACGTTATATCAGAAAAGAAGAAAGAAAAATGTTCTCAAACCAATAACCTAAAGTTCTGCCTTAAGAAACTTGTTAAAGAAGAGCCAACTGAACCAGAGCAAGTGAGGGAGGAGCAAAGCCTCGAGAGACTGTCAGTGAAAGGGGAAATAGAATGCCCAGATTGATTGTTTTTCGAAAGATCAGCAAGGTTGGCAATTTTTTGGGTAGCCTGATCAAAAAGTTAAGAGAAGACACAAATTGCCAAAACTAGGCATAAAAAGGGGCACAGAGATTTAAAGAATTACAAAAAGCTGGGCTCGGTGGCTCAGCCTGTAATCCCGCGCCTTTGGGAGGCTGAGGTGAGTGGATTGCCTGAGCCCGCGGGTTCGAGACCCGCCTGGGCAGCGAGACCTCATCTCTACAATAAATCAAAAAATCAGCCAGGCGTGGTAGTGCACGCCTGTAATTCCGGCTACTCGGAAGGCTGAGGCGGAAGGATCGCCGGAGCCCAGCAGGTCGAAGCTGCGGTGGCCGGGAGCAGCCACTGCACTCCAGTCTGGGCGACAGAGTGAGAGTCCAACTCAAAAAGAGCACTATAAACAAGTCTATACCAACAAATTAGGCAGTTTAGATAAGATGGGCATATTTTTAGAAGGGCAGATGACCAAAACTGACTCAAAAAGAAGTAGAAATAAGAACAGATTTACAAGTAAAGAAATTTGTATTTTGAAATCTTCCCATAGAGAAGCCAAGTGGCTTCACCAGTGAATTCTGTTGAATATTTAAAGAGATCATACTGGTCATTCATACAAGAATAAAGGGGACTCAATTCTCCAAAAAGACATAAAAATCCTTAATGTGTATGAACAGAGAGTCAAAATACATAAGGGAAAAACTGACAGAAATGAAAGGAAAAACAAATAAGTCCCCTTTTGTGGTTAAAGACTCCTCTATCCATAACTGACAGATCCAGCAGGCAGAAAGTCAATAAGCATGCAGTGGATTGGACTGACTTCTGCAGGCTACTTCATCAAACAACAGGATGCACAGTCTTCTCAAGTTCACATGGGACATTTACCAAGAGAGACCACGAGACCACATTCTGGGCCATAGAAAACATCTGAACAAGTTTAAGAGTGTAGAAATCATGTGAAGTGTGCTCTTAGACCATAATGAAATTAAACTAGAAATCAATAACAGAAAGATGCCCTGGAAAATTCCCAAATATTTGGAGATTAAACAAAGTATTTCTAAATATCACAAGCTGATAACTTATGTCCACACAAAGACATGCACATGGTTGCTTACAGCAGCTTTATGTATAGTCACCACAAGCTGGAGAGCAGCCAAGATGTCTTTGACCAAGCGAATGAATGAACACTTCCTGGAACATCCATATGGCGGAACGTTATTCAGCAATGACAGAAGTGAGCTACTGTGCCACAGAAGGGCATGGAAGAGCGTAACACACGCTGTGAGTGAAAGAAGCCGGCCTGCAAGGTCTGCATGCTGGGCGAGCCTAGCTAGGTGGCATGTGGAAAAGGCCAACTCTACAGACAGCGAGAAGATCAGTGGCTGCCACGCGTTCAGGCCTGGGAAGAGAGGAACAGGTGAAGCACAGGAGATTCTCAGGCCTTGACACTCCTCTGTGTG